GTAGGGGGTTGAGTGGGGTGGTAATGATGCCAGGCTGAACAAATTGCAAAGCAAAGGGAATGTTTTTAAATGTAGAACATGGAATTATCGTGGCAGCAACATGGAGAGGAGATCAGAGAGAGTGAGATCCACTGGGAGTGATCTGCCACTCTCGGGACAAAAAACACGAAGCTCGTCTATGGCTACTGTGATGAGTTCAGCTGTATTACAAAGTAAAATAGAATGTAAAATAGGGCAAACACGTCTTACACAATGTTATAGACATGGAGTATACACCAATATTCTGATGAAACAGAATAAGAGAAAATAAAGGAATATGGATGATAAATGTAAACGCATGTTGCATGTAATGGTAGGTATATACATAGCTAGAACATAGTGCTAGAAAGCCTGACACTGTGCCACTGGACAGCACAGTGTGTCCCTTCCTCTCTCCCCCTTCATTTTTCCTCTGCTCTTTTTGCCCTAAAACAGGGCAACACAAATAAATAAATAAATGAAAAGAGGAGAAAAAAAAAAATTAAAAGGGGAGAAAGAAAAACATCTCAACTGCAATCTGTCCCATCTTTCAGCTTCAATTAAAAAAATCGAATCTTTTTGTTCAACTTCATAACAAGACTTCAAGAGGGCCCCAAGACTCCGATCCCACCACAGCTCACTGGGAGAGTTGAATTCCATTAATTATGTGACCTACATATTCCAGTAGTTAATATTCCAGAGAGTCGGATGGAGGGAGAGTATATGTTTGCCAATAATACAGAAGTGAGGCGATACTTATAGATCGTAAGGAATCAAAAGTTCCCCTCTCCAGATGCTTCTCGGAGGCCATGCACTGTAGTCTCTGGGCTCATTACACTGTTTACATGTTGGTTTATTGAGCCGAGCAAACAAGGACTCTCAGTTTCCTGTGAATAACTTTTGATTTTCCCCATAGGCAAGGATGACTTGTACCTTTTCTTTTTCTGCCAATTAGTCATATGAATAGGTTAAATTTCCATTTCAGTAAAAGATCAACATTATAACAGGATTCAAAGGGTTGTTCTTTGTTAACTCTTCTATATTTGCACTGAACTTGCCACATGTAACTACTGTGTAAGATCAGAGAAATGAACCTAGCCACACATTAAGACAGCTTGTCAAAACACATCTCAAGAAAGGAAGTTAGTGTCTTGGTAACTCTGCGGGTGCATTAGCTTGTGAGCTACAGCATCATCTTCACCCGGCTCATGGGCTGATCTCTTAATCAGTGTCCAGAGTGCGCATGAGTCCTCTTCTGAAGGCTGAGGCTGTGTCCATCCTGCCTGCCCGTCGCTACTGCCAGCTTCAGCCATGAATATGTAGCTGTTCTGTGGCTGGGAGCTTGCTTATGTTTTCTGTCTGATATCTAGGCCCCATTCCCATTTCAAAGGGAGGTCCACCCGGGGCCTTGACTTTTTGATCTGCCTGGCGACTGAGTCGACCACCTGCATGTGGGATCAGCTGCCAGCGAGAGCAGACAACCCCTCTGCTTCAAAATATACATCCTCCCCCCTTCGTCCTCGCTGCTTCATTGCCCTTCACTGTGCCCCCCTCTTTCCGTGAAGCTGCCGGGAACCCCAGTGGTCCTAACTGGGTCTGGAGCTGCATCCCATTCCCAACTGTTCTGACAGTGGTGGGTGAGATGCTTGAGATGTTGCGCATAGCAGCAGGAAAATGCACAGTACAGTCACAGGGCCATTTTGTATTTACGAGAAGCCATAGTGTCAAATGGAAACAACAGATAGCCTACCTTATAAAAAGGTCTGTGGCTTCTGTAATAGTGATCCAGTGCTGTCTGTACCAAACCCACATGTCTATCAAACTCCATCAAATTGAGGAGTAATTGAAGACCAATTAGTTGACAGGAGAACCACAGAATAAAGTTTAGATACTTACATTCTGTGACGCCAGAGAGTTCATCTAATATCTGTGAACCTGATCTAGTCTGGTCCTTGCGGTCCTAACCAGGCTTTAAACAAAATGATAATTATTTGATGATCACAGATATTAATATGATATCAGGATTGCCATTCTGCCTCATCGGGATCACAGTGCCTGTCATGGTATAATTAAAACCCAAAGGATTTCAGACGAGTGAATTAAAAATGAACTAAGAGTGGATGCTCTGGATGCCCACCACTAGAGCACTGACATCCACTATGTATGGAGAGATGACATGAGACAAAGGCTACGTCTCTGACACCGGTTAGAAACCTACAACCCAGCCAATCAATAACACCTATAAACAGTGTTTTATACTAATTACCCTCTTTGGCAGATGATGAGTTTCTCAGGCAGACATTTGTCAAGATTAATTTTCAAACAAAGCAACAGCTATTTGAGATGTGTGCGTTTCTGAATGTTTCTTACAATAAGTGATATTCACAGAGTCTTTAAGTTAATTGGCTTTCTTGAACCCTGACAGCTAGCATAATGAGTGTCTAATGGTTTCTCAGCTGGGGTGATATCCGCCATGCCATAAAGGCACTTCAAGAAGAGGTGTGAGTTTAAAACAAAATACAACAACAATGAAAAAGGACACCATTTATCTTGGAAAACACACTTACACACCTAAGTCTGCTTGTCTGGCATGGATCATGGCCATCATAATCAACTTCAAATTGTTGCTCTGCTCACTACTACAGTTCAGCAGTAAAAAAAAAAAAAAAAAAAGGAAAAAAAAAGATGTCTGAATCTCTGTGGTATTGATGTAAAACAATTGTCCAAAACTCTTGGCTTGAACAAAAACAAAACATTGGCTTTCAAATGTAGCTAATTGCTGCATTCCAACAAAAGGAACACCAACAAAATAATTAAAACAAAAAATGTAATATTCATGAACCAGTGCATGAATGACTATCTGTATCCATGTCTGGTTTGTGTCACAAGTGCAAAGATTATAAAAATAAAACAGAAGAGGTTTACTTCTCCCACGTAAGTATAAAAGTCCTTTACATAATGTTCTATAGATGTTACAGAGAATGACAAAGCAAACACCCCCACCTCCCTCTCTACAGTGAAAAGAAACTACAATTACTCTGACATGGCACACAAATAAACAATTAATCAAAAGGCAGAAAACCAAGGGGGCCAAATAATTAAATGAGTGAGGAAATGAGGAAGAATTGCCTGAAAGCGGGTGGGGGTGGGATATCATTGAACCATCCTGAACTTACTTTTTGCTCTCAGTTCTCCATCTCTGGTTATAAATGACTTCAGATTTGACGTTTCCAGCCCACAGCCTTACAACAAAACACACTTTCTTTTATTCAAACAGTGAAGAAACGGAAAGAAAAAAAAATGACTTTTTGTTAAAGAAAGGAGGGGGGCGTATGTTGTGCTGCTCCTATCAAGCAGAAAGGCGGGTGGTAGTCGAAGAGGCTCGCAGCCGGGCCCCACTTTGGAAAGCTCTCATAAATCCTGATTTGAGCGGGGCGCTAACCAGAGGAGGTAAGGCACGTCAAGAGAGGGGGCTGGAGAGTGGAAGGGGGGGAGTGGCAGCTTGCCTCTTAAAATGCTACGTCTGATTAAGTCTTCCCATTAGGTGACAGCTGAACTTTAACATTAATATGATAATATTGAAATAAGTGTGTGTTATTTACTTCAGCTCCAGAGGGGGGCGGAGGGAAGAAGAGAAGGAAGGAGGAGGGAATGATGAATGATTTCTGGACAGCTCTGGGTGACAAGCCAGGCGAGTTGACCGCACCCCCCCCACAATCCTCCTCCTTTTCCCATAATCAGACTTGACAAAATGGAGACATATGCAGAAATATTGGTTACAGTCGGCATCACAGCCCTTCTCAGGCCTTCCCTCTCTAGTAACTGCTGGCCGCCCTGTGAGCCGCCCTCCAAATTGTCTACGGGCACTGAAGCATCTATTTCAATTGGCACTTCCTTCCTGGCCCCAGGATTTTACATTTAGTCTGTGTCATTTACATATTACTCTTAATCAAAATCCACAGTGGGCGACAGGGAGAGGGAAAAAAAAAAAAAAACAAGAAAGAAGGAGCGAGAAACAAAACCGTGGCGTCACGGTTCAGGGGTAGGCACACAGGCACTTTATGAAATGGAGATGTGACAAGACATTACGGTATGTGTGTGTGCACGTTTGTGTGACTGCGTGCATGTGTGTATGTGTGTATTAGGAGGCAGTGCATTAGATAATGCAAGGACTACTGAAACATTTGCGTATGAATGCTCATGTTTGTGTGATTGTTGGGGTCTGCCTTGTGCATGAACTAGCAAGCAAGAGAGACAAAGAGTGCAAGTTGAATATGGGTTGTAATATGGGCTGGAAAACAAAGGCAGAGAGAAGACAAGAATGGAGACATGTACAGTATGCACTGGTCTTTTCTAGCTATTTCCTGCAGGATGCTATGCAGGGCTACTCTCTTCTCAGTCTACTCAGGCACTCAACAACAACACCACTGCGTGTAACAGAACAGCCGTTCACACCGTTTAGTTTGTTTGTTTGCTCAGACATACAGTAAGTGTGACATTGATGGGAACATTCAACCAATAAGAATTTATTAAAATCTGAATTAATGAAATTCTCAAAGAAAACATGACCCTCAAAATTATATGAGTTGATTATACTGAAGGAAAAATACCCAAACACCGCATCTCATCGCAGATGCACCTTGTGGAGCAGTTGCTTGATAAATATCATTCAAATAAAATTCCACTGAAATAGACAAGATTAACAGGCCACAATTTAACTAGTGACTACAGGTGATGGACTGCAGTGTGTTCATTTGTTTATTTATCCAGCCCCGCCTGTGTAAAGCAATGCGGTAAAAGGAATGTGGCCAACAGCAACACAGTGTTTTAAGACCAATTACAAATGGAAACGAAAAAGTTGGAAAGTTTTGATCTAATTACAAACTTTATCAGATGGTGATGACTTGGAGCAAGCTCACAGCACTGTTCGAGCATGACACACACAGAGAGGTGCAGAAACAATGTCCCTACCTGCCTCTTACCTTCTCAGCATGCCGGTAAGGATGCGAGAACTCTTGCCCAGGTTGGCGTCTGTTTCTCTCAGCTGGGGAGACAGAAGCGGTGAAAGACAGGTTTTAGTTTCCATTCTGATCCAACATCTCTCAAGGTTATTAAACGCAGACTATGAAGACACTACAAAAGAATATTTCTCCATTGACTCCTGCTCTGACCACAACATACACACAACATATCGACATTTGAGCACCTCCGTATAAACGTAAAAGACAGAGAAAGAAGGGAAAGTGATTTCTTTTTAAACCTTGCGCAGCGGCAAATTTGAAAAAGACACCTCTAAGATTTGACACTTGATCTTTCAACACAAAGTTGGTTGCAAGCCAGAGAGATGAATCAGAGACCCTTTGATTAGAAGCTTGCTTTTTTATCTTTAGGTTACTGGTTCACCTATCTAGAGACAGGCCCACACTAAACCACCTTTCTAAACATACTTCTAGAGCTACTAGATCTACCGAGACAGAAATACATTTACATACTGTACATATTTACATTTACTTAGCCCCTCTACGCATAAAAAACGGTTTGCTTATTAATTTTAGGTCCCTATGTCTATAAACTCCAGCCACCATGAGCTGATTTTTCTTGTAGATACAAATTCTCTGTAACTTCAAGGATTCCCAATTATTAGGACACGTTACTATAATGGCCTTCTGCTTATCTTACTGCAGAACAAACATTAGAATTGTGTAGCAAAAAGAGTGAAAGGGGGCCTTTACTGTTGATCTACATTGCATACATAGGGGGTCCTTGAAGGAACACTTGAAATAATGATCATGGCTACCCAGGGCTAATTGCCTTGGACATTTTCCTTTTTCTTGCTCCATCTTCTCTCGTTTCTTTCTCTCAGCCTTTTTTTCTTCAGGGGTCATAGGAATGTTTTCATTCCACTCACTTTATCTGGTGTAGGGACTTTCACAGTGAGGGGAATTGGCAGAGATGTTGCCAACAAGATGCGAGTGTGACTGCAAAAAAAAATGCTGACATTGCACTGAGTGAGCTGCCACTAGCGTCCACCTGTAGTCGCGTTTCTAAAGGATGATGGGGGAGTGTGGGCAAGAGTCATTGCAGAGAGTTTCTCTCCAACGTCAGCAGGGGGTCACTCATCTTCATCTCTGTCTGAGATAATAACTGCTTTTCAACAGAGTCATTCTCACTCAGTATGTTTTCATCAGTTAAATACTGTTAGATCGTATTATATCCTATTTTTAATTCCTCACTCTCACATCTTTTCTTCCAACCTCCCTGTTCTCTACAATCGTTCCAGCATCACCCTCTTTCCTGTTTGTTCTGGCTCATCTTGCATCTCTCTTGCCTGCAATTCACCCTCTCTTCCCACCCCTCCTTTATAGCAACTTTCTTCCTCTTCTTCCGATCTTTCCTTCCTACCCTCTGGCAGCCTGGGCTGGTGCGATGCAGGTTGCCAGAGCCAAGGATACATGTGGTACAGGGTAGGAGGTGGGGGACCTGGGGTTTGGGCCCTCTGGCAAAGACAACAAGTCCTGCAGTTGCCTGATGTCTGACTCTACCCACAGATCTGTCCCCTAGATAGTTCACACTTTCTCCCAAAATACATCTCTCTCTGAATCATTCCTTCTTTTCAGTCCTCACCCTCTCTCCACTGCCTCTCACCAAATCGCATGCTTTCCTCCTTAACCTGAAATGGAGACCAACTGAAATTTCAGTGCAGCTGACTGTCTAAAATTAACTGTGTTAGCCTGTATGGGGATAAAGAGAGAAATGTGTTTCTCCTACCTTTTATTTTTCATGTACAGCTCCAAAAAAGAAAATTCTCCATAGACGCCTAAGGTCATTCTCCAGGATTAAAATACATATACTACCATTATTATAAAATAAAGCTCATTTACATGAAAAATTCTAAAATAGTGTCTGATCCATATCCTTTCAACCTATCAAGTGCCAAAAGAGGGCATTCAAGAAAGAAAAAGGAAGAGGTTAAGCAGTGAGGATAAAAAAGCCCAAAAGTAAGATGTAATAATTTTTGAGCATTAAAATTTTTAAGCTTACTGAGCACGATAAAGACGTGCCCTCAAACTACACAACTAATCCTCTTATATGAATAATCTGTGCTCTCAAATGACTAAACCATACCATCACAATACTTAATTGCCTTAAATGAATAGTATGAAGTTATCCTAACAGTTGGCATTAAAGTTATAGCTTGTTGTGGTCGGTTAGAGAAGAGAGGCAAAGCAGCAGGCTAGCAGCTATGTTGTCTGTGCGAGGTGCCGTCAAATTTCTTAATACATGGTGCCTAATTTGTGGCTACAGATGGGTGATCACAGAATGCAAAGATCATGACATACAGAGAGAAGCTGTGCTACTGATCAAGAGAGAGGGGAGTGGACAAATTTAGTAATCTGAGAGGATGATTTAGCAATTAAAGTGCAGGATATATTCATTTGGGGGTACAGATTAATAATTTGCGTACACAAATTGCACATTTTGTCTCCTGAAATGAGTAATTCCTACCCTCAAATTAATAATTTTATACACTTGAATTATTGATTCAAACATATAAATTACTCATTTTAAGGAACGATTATTAAAAACGTGCTCCCCTGCTACCTGTCGGGATGAGCTAGCCCGGCGAATGGTTAAATCACTCTGGGGCTTCAGAGTTGGAAGTACACTGCTTTGACCCAGTGTTGAAACCTTCCATTGACTTCTATTTGTACCATAAAAGCTAAACAAAAGGCCACACCTCCTGCTGAGCATAGGGGTTTGGGTTTGTTTGTGTGTGTGTGTGTGTGTGTGTGTGTATGTGTGTATGTGTGTGTGTGTGTGTGTGTGTGTGTGTGTGTGTGTGTGTGTGTGTGTGCGTGTGTGTGTATACACATTTATGTGCGTGTGTCTATGTTCCTGTGTTTTAGCATTTATGCTTTTTAACTCTATTTGCTGCCATCTTTTTAATGCAAAAGAGCTGCTAACCAGCCCTCCCACCCTGTGTCTTTATATCTTTGCTTCTTTTTACTTTACTTTTGCCCCACAAACTGCCTTTAAAGGCCTATATGTGTGTGTGTGTGTGTGTGTGTGTGTGTGTGTGTGTGTGTTTTTTTTTTTTTTTTTTGGGGGGGGGGGAGCAAAGAAGACTCATGGGCAGAAGGGAGAGAGAGAGAGAGAGAGAAAGCAAAAGAAAGAGAGCAGGTACTCTCAGTAGACACTGTGGACCGTTTTGAAAGGAGATGTTTGATTTCCTTTGAAATCGCCTGTGCGAGGCCCACTGCCATGTTGTGATCTTTAAACATTCTGCATTGAGGGGGCCGACAGGGCTGGGCCCCCTTCCTGTGTTTGGTCTTTTCTGTCTCTGCCTACCTGTCTGTTCGGCTGGCTGGATGTAAGGAGGGGCAGTGTGAAGGATTGGCGGGGGGAGGGGGGGGGGGGGGGGGCTCTCTCTGAGGGAAAGCGAGAAGGAGAGAAGGAAACTGGAGAGGAGTGCTGAGAAATAAAGGAAGGTAGGTGAGGAAGGATGGCAGCCGGCAAAGTTAACCCCATTCAGGTGAGGTGAGGAAAAGGGGAAAAATCCTGGAGAAATGTCTGTAGGTACCAACAATATGTAGCCACGAGCATGCTCTTGTGTGATGTGGCAAAATATGCTCGATATTTTATTATGTTAAAATTCAAACTGACTAAAAATATCTACTTAAATACAAAACAGTGCTATCAATAAATAAGCACATTAAGTACCTTGTCAACACCATTCTGCTGACATTTTATGTGAACAAGTGTAAGCATACCCGCGACAGTGTGTGTCCCACTTTTGTGTGTGTAGACTTGCGTTTGTGTGTTTACTTAGCAAACCATGCGGAAAGTGTTGAATGCTGTCAATGTTGTTAACCAGTTGTAACACCTTTATAGTCTCACAAACACTTGTTAAAATAGACAGATGAGTGTGTGTGTGTGTGTGTGTGTGTGTGTGTGTGTGTGTGTGCAGGTGGTATGTGTGTACTCACTCTTTCTCTGGCTCTCTGGATCTTCTCACGGTCAGTGTGCAGGTTGGCAAGAATCTCCTGACCCACTTGCTCTGCAAGACGAGCAGACACAGTGTGAGGAAGAGGATATTATCAGCAAAATTAGGAGGGAAATCCATGAAAGTCATCTTGAAACAACTGGGTCGAAAAAAGAACAGTCATAATACTTACACACTTGCAAACATTTAACTGTCACAGCTATATTGCTGGAATGTCCACAACAAGATGGCCTCTAATGATTTGTACTTCAAGTCACGTCATTATCCATCTTTATTGTCTCTTTCAGTTATGTCTCACCATCATGGCAATAACATGATATTTTTCACCTGGCTTTACTCAGTGAGCCTTTGTAATGCAAAGAGCAAACATTGTGAACATAGCCATTGTGTAATATTTTGTACGCTAACTGTACAGCGTACAGAGACAACACAGTCGAGAAGGAGATTCAGGCGGGCACATAGTAGAATACTGTAGCTATGGGAAGTGTTTTTTAAAACTGTCTTAAAAAGCTGAAGTAAACACACATGAAGTCCTAGACAACAATACCCCAGCATCCAGCCTGCCAGTGGGGTCCACTCAGCCAATGCAATATTCATTAAGCCATTCTTTTTTAAATGCCTCTCGTCAGTTGTAGATGTAAACACATTAACGCACAGTTATAAAACATCCCTGACAAGGCACCTGACAAGCTTGTCAGTGGTCACTGTCATTTTCCTGTCCCTTGGGTTGGGGACGAAAAAGGAGCCAAAAACATAATAATAATAAGATAAACTAAATAAGTCGCCCCCTCCCGCCCCCCTTCCAAAGAAACCCACTGCTGCCATCAATGTAACCATACTGCTACAGCATTAGCGTTTAAAAATGAGGGAGGCAGAGGATGAATCAGGAAAAAAAGGAAAAGAAGTGAAGAATCTTTGCATGGATCAAAGACAGGCTTTCAAGCGCACCAAACAAATCCGGAATAAACAACGCAGTTGCTGACTGTATTACACTACACAGGTGCCGCACACCAAAGGGCCCACGTGCTGAGCGCCTGTTTGGGGGGAGCAGTGTAAAAATGGGCTACATCTGGCAGCTAAACAAGAGGGGAGAGAGAGAGAGAAATAGAGAGAAAGATAGAGAGAGAGAGACAGAGAAGGGGGATCAGGGAGAAGTAGAAAAAAGAGAAAGCACTGTCAAATGAACGACATTCGTCTCCCATTCATCCCATCCCTTTTACCCCCCTACACTGTAACTGACTCAAATGTGTCTCTTCCTGCCTTCATTAATTTCTAATCTGGGACGAGACAGATTGAAGGATACCCAGATTAAACAGTGCAGTCAGACAGTCACATGTGACAAATAGGGCAGATTAAAAGACTGAGTGCAGGTATTAATAACCATAAAAATACAAGCCCTCCCCCGTCCCCATTGGAGAAGAACAAGGGATAAACAGAGAGGGAGTTGTAGCGGAAATCTTCTGTTAAAGAGACAAATAAGCACATCTATCCATCTCTGTCAGGGTTGTGGCTTTCTTTTCCAAATAAATGACTGTGACAAGCACTGCAGCAGCAGTTTTTGTTTTTTGGCAAGTGCATTATTGGAAAGGTTTGCAAAGTGTAAAAAGATGGATGAGGCGGTAAAAGAAAAGGCCTCCAAAGACAATAAGATAATCTTAGTCTAAGTACTGAGCAGTCATTAAACACATTATGTTAAGGTATGTGCTGCAAGACAATCATGGTTTCATGAACATTTAGGTAAACAATAAAAGAAAAGAAAAGAAATGAGGAAGAGAAATGATGAAAAGCCTTTGCAATGAGCTCCCTTTCAATCGGAATGGCAGTGGATTCAGGTTTCTGCCGACTGTAGGGCACTGGAGAGAGCACAGTGCTGGTGCTGGCTAAAGAATGATGTGAAACCAAGGTTTTCAATAGAACTCTGTAAGTACAAACATCCATTACTTTATGTTTTCGATGCTGAGTATTTGTACAGACTGTCTTCATGCAAATGGTTGCCCTTGACAAATTTTAACGGTTGCTGAAGAAAAATTTGGACAAAATGAATTTGTTAATACTTAGAGTAAGTCTTTTTGATTAAAACCACACCATTTTTTTTTAAGCCTTTGCAGAAGAGAGCTACGATATACAACCTTGATTTAGAGGGAGATCTCTCTGCACTCTGTAGAGAAAAAGGGCACATTCACCGGAGCAGAAACAACAGTGAAGTGCCATTACACAAGATGACAAGCAAATTCTAGCAATCTAAAATTATTATAGGTTAATGGAACGACATTGAAGACACCATATCTGCTCAATACTGCTATTTTCTGTGGACATCCATGGTGAGAGGAAAGTAAAATCATTTGCAGTTGACAGAATCAACTCTTGAACTGGCTGACAAAAAAAAAAAAGTTTCATCATAGCTTGATAAGACAAACATTTTCCTTGGCTGTGTGGCCACAGAGGTCTCTCCTCAGCTCTCAAAATCTCTCATCGTCCCTCTCTGGGTTTCCCCCAAAACAGTCAGACATTAGAGTTGTACATAACTCCCGAAGGAATGCATGGCGTTTGTTGTCTTTATCATGCATCTTCGCTTGCATTACTCATTCTCTGGCATGTATCTACATTTCCATTCATCTTATTTAAGTCCTGCTGTCCAGCGGTCTGTGTAAAACTTCATTACTGGGAAAGAGAACTTGTTGGGCAACACATGGCGCAAAATACTGAGTTAAAAACAATAATGTAATGTAGAAGAATAATGAAAGGCTCCACAAGTAACAAACTACAGGGTGACAGGCTTTCCTTCATTATCATATACTTGATGCAGACAAGCCTTCAATGCTACAACTGTTAATAACTGTTCAGAAATACAGTGAACTGGTCTCCTTCTGGGAACGTTTGCTAATCGCTGACCTTAAATTGCATGTTGGCTTGTATGACTCTGATTTTGGTTAATGTTAACATATAACATATTCAGGTTTGTACAGTATTCTTAACTGCAAAAAAATAAAGACAATACAGAATGTATGACCAGGACAAAAAGATAGGGGATATCAAAAATGTACAGTTGATAAAAAACAATGCAGGAGAGGAGAAAAGACTTAGTGTTAAAGTCCCTGACTTGTTGCTCGTTAGTGTGTAAAATATTCCCCTCCTGTTTAAACAGCTATTAACAATTTAAATAACCCTGGCCCAGAGGCCTTGCTCTGACTCACTTGTTAAAGATCCCCATCCCCAAAGGTCCATTTAACAAGCCCATTATTCCATTACATTACACTCACACCAGCACCAGAGAGCCTTAATTTAACTCATTCCTCTAATGTAACTGTAGAAAAGGATTAGTATAGAAAAATTGAAGGCTCAAATTAAAGAGGGAAATAATGTCTGGACTAGGAATTCTTTCCTTTAAATCCATGGTCACACTATTGACATAGCACAGTTCAGATCTATTTTATCTCAGCTCAACACGTCACAGTGCTGTTAATAATGATAAGGTAGTCGGAAAATATATTTACTGGACAATTAACTTTACTAGTACATGAAGTAATGTAATCTGTAATGCTAGAACAAGCACCATAAAATGAGCTTAACAGAGATGGAATGAAACATTTCTCTCTACTTTGACTCTTAAATAGAGCTACTGTGATTACTTGATCAACTGAAAAATAATCAGCTATAGACAACTTTGATAATCAATTCATCTTTTAAGTTATTTTTCCAGGCAAAAATGCCAAACTTTCCCAGTCCCAGCTTACATACCTGTGAGGATTTTCTGCTTTTCTCAGTCTTAGTTTGTATTTTAAAAGGTTGGTCGGACATATAAGCAATATCAATCATTTTAGGCTTTTGGAACTTTTCATATTTTCTGACATTTTACAGACCTAATAATTAATCGGCAGATTAATCAATAATGACAATAATCTGTGGTTGCAGTCTTACTTTTGAACAATTCAAACAACAGAAAGGTTCACTCATTTTCTCCATAAAGAAAAGGCTCAATTAATCATTTATAATTCTGTGTAAAATGTAAATACCATGAAGAGGCCATGTCCATGAGGCCTGGCTCTCGACAATATGGTACAATCCAAACCTGTCCAGCCTTCAACTTTCTCCAGTCTGTGGACACATTTAATTGGAGGCATCATCTATTTTACAGGAGCTGTTTCAGAGCAGTTACACAGTGTCTCAGAGCCCCTGTCTTTCTTTCTGTGTTGCGTTTTTTGCCTTGCTCCCTCTGTCCCCAGAGCTGAAAGGGTACAAGACCTGACAGTGGTGTGCTCTGAGGCTCAGCACAGCTCCTTTTCATTAAGCAGTTGAGACCACTTTTTGAAGGTTACCACACACACTTATATCCGGACACAAGCCACACACTCCAACAAACGGGGTATGGAAGCCCATGGGAGGGTTGAGGGGAAGTAAGGAGGAGCCAGATAAATGTTAGACCATACATTTTCTCTCTCTCTCTCTCTCTCATACACACACACACACACACACACATACATACATAGACATACACAGTGCACCAGTCAACTTATATACCTGTGACTCCCAGGTGAATAAAGTTACCTGTCTTTGTACACTTCCAGAGAAGCTTTTTTTTTAAGGACTTCTCAAGTCTACAACTGCCTGGTGACACACTTTCATCACCTCCATCAAAGTTGTACCCACACTGGGATGTATTTGTAATGCTGAGCCCACAGGCCATGAGGCTAGCGCCTTCGCACTGAGCTATAGCTCAAAATAAAGAGGTGCCAACTGCTGGGTCACAGGGGGGGCATCAAGCATCTTGGGAGTCAGTGATGCTATGACAGCTTACTTATGATAATAGCAACAAACAGTAACTGCTATTTCACAGGATGGGTAATGAAGGATTTCAAAAAGAGTCAGTATGATTCAGAGGAAGTGCATTGTCTTTAAAATTGGGATTTTTCATTCCACCCTGTGTGTTGCACATTGATTCAGCAGCACACTGTATAGGCAGCGTACCCTTTCAGAGCAGGAGAGGAACTGGTCTGTTCTTTCAAGAGTCTAAGCACTTAAAAGGCCCAAAACAAGTAATATTCTGGGCAGGGTGA